TACCTCAGAATGTTGAAATTTGAAGTTTGGCCAAGCTCTTGGTCTTGTAATAACTTGGGGTAGAGTCGTATCCTCCAAAGCTACAATGATGCGTTTAAGACGGTGATAGTGGAAACTGTCCAAGGCCCATAGGAGCGTCTGTAGTTTGGCTTCGTCAAGGGAGCCAACATTGAATATTGCCCGTCGACTATGCATTATCACCTTTCCTGCTTCAAATTATTATAATATTTTATTTTCATAGGAGTTTAAATTATATACTTCATATATCCCTTGGATTCTTAAAATCATTATAATACTTTACTTTCATAGATTTTCCTAATATACAAAATTTTCTATAACTCTTTCCAAATTTAACAAATTTCTCAACTCTATAAATCAACAAACTCTATGATGCTTCAGTGGTCCACTTAAACCCATCTTTCTTCAACAACTAAGTCAGTGGACGTGCTATTTTGCCATAACCCTCAACGAACCTCCGATAATACCCGGTTAACCCCAAGAAGCCTCTTAGTGCTGTGACATTCTTAGGTTGTGATCACTGTTTCATGGCTTCCACCTTCTCTGGGTCAGCAGCAACTCCCCTTCTAGTGATCATGTGACCCAAGTAAGCCACCCGAGATTGCCCAAAAGCACATTTCTTCTCGTTTGCAAAGAAGCTGTGTTCTCGTAGCACCTGTAGCACAAGTTTCAGATGCTCATGGTGCTCCTTCTCACTGCGGCTGTACACCAGTATTTCATCGAAGAATACAAGAACAAATCTCCTCAAGTAAGGCTTGAAAATGTCATTCATCACCGACTGGAAGGTTGCCGGAGCATTGGTGAGCCCAAAAGGCATCACCAAAAACTCATAGTGCCCTTCGTGAGTCTTGAATGCAGTTTTTCCCACGTCTTCTTCTTTCACACGTATCTGGTGGTATCCCGACTTAAGATCGAGTTTAGAGAAATCTGCAGCTCCCACGAGTTCATCGAGCAGTTCTTCTATCACTGGAATTGGATAACGGTCAGGTATGGTACTCTTATTCACAGCCCGATAATCAACACAGAACCTGAACCCACCATCCTTCTTCTTCACCAGCAGGACATGACTAGAAAAGGGACTGATACTCGGCCTTATGATTCCAGCCTGAAGCATTTCTTGCACTAGTTTCTCTATCTCGTTCTTCTGCAGGTGGGAGTAACGATATGGCCTCATATTGATAGGTGAAGTACCTTCCTGCAACGTGATTGTGTGCTCTCTTGACCTCTTGGGAGGTAACCCTTGAGACATGTGGAACACACTGTTGAACCTGGACAAGAGTTTCTTGATCTCTTCACTAGGTTCCCTTTTCTTCTCTTGATCGCTGTTATTGTCAAAGAGGGCCTGCAATTCTAGAAGCAACACAGTATCCTCCTTATTGCAAAGCTTCTCCATAGAACTCAGTGACACTTGAGCTCTTAGCAAGAAGGATCCCCCGTAAGAGTAACCCATTTATTATCAACCTGGAACTTCAAGATATGCAGCCCCCAATTAATCCTCATCTCACCCAACTTTTCCAGCCACGTATAACCAAGGACCACATCAATATTACCCAACTCGAACAATAAGTATTCTTCTTTCACTTCCACACCTTGAATGTTCAAGCGAGGGCTCTCACATTTTCCACTTCCGTTAATCACCTGTCCATCACCAATTGTCACACCAAACCCTGCAGTAGGTACCACGGGTATCCCTAGTTGTTTCACCACACGGTCAGTTATGAAATTGCTAGAAGCTGTTGAGAAATCAGCACCACCACAGCCATCCCTTCTAAATGGCCTATCAACTTCAAGTTCTTCTTAGTTGTAATCCCTACCATTTACTGCAAGGACAACACATGAAGTTCCTGGTTCTGTGGTTCAGTGTCGTCTCCCGAGTCCTTATCCACTCCTTCATCAGACTCCGACTCCTCCTCAACTTCCATACATTTGAACCTCTGGAATGCTTTACAGCGGTGCCCTGTGAAGTACCTCTCCCCACAATGCCTACACGGGTTCTCTATAGCCTTCTTTTGCTCTCCTTGTTTGTTGTCTCGCTGTGAGTCAAAGGACTTCCTAGGTGTGGAGTAATCATTGTTCTTAGACCCACTCGAACCATAGTTCTTTTGGTTTGAGTTGACTGCTGGGGCTGAATTTGTTCGCTGGAAAGACCTCGAATGATAAGAGTTTTTATCATTCTCTTGCTCCTCAATGATTTTAGCCATATCTACTATCTCATTCATTCCCACCGGCCTGAGTCTCACCACCTGCTCCCTAAGGCTTCTTCTCATGCCATGGAGGAAGATCTCCTCCAGTACATCATTCGGAACATGTGGGACCTCGGCTGAAAGCTCCTCAAACGCTTCCCTATACTATGAAATCGACCCCGTCTGTTTCAAACGTAACATCTGACTGATTACCGTTCCTCCCCTAGATGGTTTGAAACGTTTCCTCAGCTTATGTTTGAAATCTCTCCAATCTAACAGCTCCTCCTTATCTTGAATCATCCTCAACCACGGAACTGTACAACCAGTCATACAAGCCATCGCCAAGGACAACTTCTCATCCTCCGATGTTTGATTGACTGAGAAGCATTTCTCCACCCTAAAGATCCAGTCGTCTAGGTTTTTCCCTTCAAAGTCGGGTAAATCCAACTTTTTGGGAGGTGTCTCACTCTTCGCCTGAATGGTATAGCCCGAGGAATCCCCCTAGGTTGGTGACGTAAAACTCTCCTTAGGCCTCGCAATTCCCTTACCCTCCAGCGCTGGTAAGATCCCCTTCTCCGATCGGATCGGTGACAATCGCATACTCTGGCTAGATCCTCCGTCTTCAGAACTTCGCCTCTCATCGGTCATCACCGCCTTAGAACCCAGATTCACCGGTCTAATGGTGGTTTCCGGTTGCATCTGAGGTTGAAGCTGCTGCAACAACGTCATAAGCTGATTCTGTCGCTCATTTGCCTTCTTCTCGAGCTCTAGGAATCGTTGGTTCGTTACTTCGGACGCTTGCTTCAGCTCATCAATGGAGTCTGACACAACGATCATCTGACCTTCGATCACCGAGATTCGTTCCGCGTTGGCGGCGTTGGAATCGGTTTTTGGAGGCAACTTTCGGCTCTGATACCAATGATAAGCACGTTGCCTACCGTGTAACAGAATAAAGAGAGAGAGAGAGAGAGAGAGAGAGAGAGAGAGAGAGAGAGAGAGAGAGAGAGAGAGAGAGAGAGAGAGAAGAATATGAGAGAGAACAATATGCGAGAGAGTAAGAAGATAAGATAACTTGATTAATTATTGGATAAAACGTCATTAAGGGAATCATTCCCCTTTAAGTAGCCGTACAAACATACTGAACGACATCGCATTATTAAAAGACTGTAACTCACGATACTCTACTAAACCCTCCTTCTCCAAGAGAGTCTCTTCCACACTCCCTGTATACTGCTCTTAGCCACTTCCTTTAACCAATCTCTTAGACCTGCTCCTTCTCTATGTGAATGCCAAAGGCACAGCCAACTTATCAGGCCTCTCTCTTTCTGGTGGTATGCGAATCTGTTGCTCAAGCTACAGTTCAATTTCGAGATGGTATCGTTTAGGGTCTCGGTTTCTCTAGCGACTACGCCGGCACTCTGATGCTCCTCTCCGTCTTTGAAAGTGACTCCTCTTCCAACACCTAGGTCACCTTTACGGAGCGGTACCCAAAACGTCGCTTCTTGCCATCTCGATCCAAGGTAATATGGGTATACTTCGCTTGTGCTGGAAGTCCTGGGAATTCAGACTTCACTGTGGAGATGTCTCTCCATATGGTCAAGCTAGGCGGTCTGCTATGGAGTGATGCTTTAGTTAGCTCCTCATCCCCCCCCCCTTTGGTATTGATTGGCGTTGCTTGTTAGTCTGGATCTTATTGTAGGTTTAATCGAGTTTGGCTATGGAGGTTCTGTGATTTCTTGGAGCTAGTGGTAACACTTTGTAGCTGGAGGAGGGAGTAAGAACCGGGAGGTGGTGATGCTGCACCCTTACCCTTAACCGCCTTAGAGGACGACTGTGGTTGGGTGAGTTGAGCGCTATTAAGCACCTGTGGTTTCTGTTGTCCTGTCTTTGTCGGAATTAGGTGCAGATCTTGCCCAGCCCGGACTCTGAGGGCGGTCCTTGAGCGGGCCTGTCTCTGCTTCTCTTAGGAAGGTAATTTTACAGGCAACCGATTAAAACCATTTCTCGCTAGCGTTGTTTTGCCATCAGATTTGGTCATCGTGTCTCTCCATTCTTGCCACAGCATATCGACCTTTCATCCGACTCTTCAAGTTTGTATCGATCTCTGCTATCATGTTCACTCCCAAGCAGAACGGTTTCAGTGTCGGTTGTCATTTGATTACATGTTTTTAAAACTTTTTGCCGTGTAATCAAGCATAGAGGTCGAACAGCTTGTATAACAACAACTTGTAACCTCAAACTTTCATTTCCGTAATGATATTTACCATTTAGCAAACAAAACAAGCTTAATAGCTAGTAAGACATTTTCTCAAAGCCTTTTTAATGAAATATTTATTTTCTGTTTCTAACTTTCGACTTAGTGTTTTCAACGTGGTCGCAAGAATCTTTGACATGATCTTGTAGATATTGTGTTACAGCACACAACTGGGAGATAATCTTTCATATCTTGCGCATCCACTTTCTTGGAGACCCAATCTAAAAGCGTTACATTAAACCCTATAAGGCATACGCATAAATCTTATTTTAACTACATACAGCATAAATCCATTATAAAAGTATGATTGCATGGCTGTGACAAAGTCTGCAACGGGCCAAGTAGTAACAAATGTCATGTTTTGTTTCTTTTTGGTTTCCTTGTTTGGTGAGTGTGTTTTCGTAATCTCTGACATTTTCTGTTGAATATCTAAGTCATTAATGCAATTAAAAAACTTGGATTCTCTTAATCTTCTCTTCCACATGACTCAACTTCACGTTTGTGTGATGCTTTCATATCTTCACAAAGAAAAAGAAGTTGTGAAAATGGGAGCCCCGAAGCATAAGTGGACAGACGAGGAAGAAGAAGCTCTTCTGGCTGGAGTACTCAAACATGGAACTGGAAAATGGCGTTTCATACTCGCAGACTCCGAGTATTCCGCAGTTTTGCACTCTCGCTCAAATGTGGATCTCAAGGTAAATAACAAAAACAAGAATGTTAAAGAGATTTGATAGGGCTATTAGAAACTTACATTTTTTTGGTTGAAACAGGATAAATGGAGAAACATAAGTGTAGCAGCTACATGTGGATCTAGGAAGAAGGCTAAGCATGATGATGATAGCACTAAAGCTCTTACCATTTTGGCTCTGACTAATGGTGATGATGGAGGACAACAGACTGTTCCAGCATCAGCTCCTCTTGCACTTTCTTGTGAACCACCACAAGATTTTTATACAAGGTTTTGACTTCTTGTATGAGATATCTTATCAATGCTGTGAATGTTTACATATTGGGAAGAGTATGAAGCTTAGAGGCTTACTTTACTTCAGTCAAAGTTACTTGAGGATCCTTCTCAGCTCAAATATGTTTTCTTGTAGTGTGGATAACCTGATCTTGGAGGCTATAACTAACTTCGAGGGACCGTTGGGTCCTGACAGAAAGTCAATCTTGCTGTATGTAGAGGTACTCTTAAGCATTCTTTCTCTGTTTATTCCTTGAGTCATCTATTTGAGCATCAAGGACTTAGTGTAGCTGTAATTTTTTTCAGGCGAATGCCAATATGCAACTGGATATGGAACCGCTTGTGACTGCAAGACTTGAGCAGTTGATCAATGTTGAAACAATAGTTAAGGTAAGAAGAGACACTTTGATTAAGACACTGTGCTTATAATATAAACTTTTCTCATGCCTCAGTTAACAATTGTTTTTGTGTGTTTGTTCTCGTCTCTCAGATCGAGCACAGATACAGTATTTCTCCGGGCTATGCAGTTGCAAAAGCAATTGCAGAAGCAGAGTTGGCACTAGCAGAAGCTGAAGCAGCGGCAAGAGAAGCAGAATACGCAGAAGCCAAGGCTGAAGCTGCCAGTATTTTTGCAAAAGCTGCAATGAAAGCTTTGAAAGAATACAATGCAACTCGGTAAGAGATATTGTGATGTTGTTCTGTGCAGATAGGGAAGACTGGTCATGTCTGAACCTTGCATCTAAAAAATTGCAGCTTAATGTTAAAACCTTCTCCCATTGTTCTGTTTCTCTGTTGTTGTGGTAACTTTACCTTCATGTTTCTCGTGACCGTTTAGAAACTGGTTTGAAGAGAAACAAATAAAGCCTTTGAACCATTTTTGTGTTTTGTGTTTCCAAAATTGCAAATGCTTTAGAATAGAATACAATCCACATCTAAATATACAGAGACAAGACTGGACCAGCAGCAGAGACAAGAAACAGAGACAAACTCTTGTTTTACACAAAAGAATCATCTTCAACCATAATCATTGTCAAGGAGGCACACAAAACAAGAAGACTAAGAAGAGCAAGAAGAGAGGATGTGTTTCTTGGTGAAGTTTAGTTCTTCGATTTTGAATGCTTAACCAGCCAATCAATGACCTGATCAATGTTGGTAGAGTTCTTGCAAGATATCATGAAACAGCAAACTTCTCTATCTGTAAGCGACTGAAGCTCCCTGCAATCACAATGGAATATAAGAGCATGATCAGATCGAGTAATAGGGAGACAAACTTGTGTGATATAGTTGAAGAAGCATACATTTCGTGGGTTAAGTCTTCTTTAGACAGAGCTCCAGGTTTGTCGATCTTGTTCCCAAGAACCAGAAGAGGGATACCGTTAAGGGAAGACTTGCTCAACAAATCATGGAGTTCACTTTTGGAGACACTTAGGTTGTCAGGATCTGCAGCATCAACTACATACCTGCAGGATAAAAGGACTCTTAACAAGAAGAAGAAAACTGAAAGAGAATAGAGACTTGAGGCTAAGATACTTACACAATGGCGGAAACAGCACGGCAGTAACGTTCCCACATGCTGCGGAACCGCGGTTGACCACCAAGATCCCATAGCTTGATAGTAACATTCCCTTTTGTCACTTTCCTCATGTTAAAACCCACCTGAACAAAAACAAAATAGATAATGATGGCATTCCGGTATTGATGTCTTTTAAAAATAAAAATTGTATAAGCAACGCCTTACCGTAGGAATCATGTCTTCACTATATCCACCAGTCTAAACAAGAAGAAAAGACATCAGATACCCAATCAAAAGTGAATGTAACAAGTGAAATGGGTTCGTGAGGAGGAAGAAGCATAGACTTACTGCAACAACATTGACAAGAGATGTCTTTCCAGCATTTTGAAGCCCTATCAAAGAAAGTTCCATTTCTTGCTTGAAGAAGAGGCTGCATTATCGAAACAAACAAGTGAATCTGAATGAAATTACGGCGATGGTTCATCCTTCTAACAAACCCTTCATGCTATCTTTCATGTCCTAAAACCAAATCGATCATCTAGATTCTCTCTCAAGCATTGTTATAAACTGGAGTCCTAGATTCTCGTTGATTGTCACCACAGAAAGAAGAAACGAATAGCCTAAAGCCCTAAACTTGGCAATCAAAATCGAAAAAGTTGAATTCAAGCTATTGAATTCAAGTAAAAGCAAATAGAAACTCAATCAATAATCATGAAGACGAAGACGAAGATGAGATTATCTCTCACCTACGAAGCCAATTGAGAAAAGCTTCCCACAAACCCATTGTTTTGATTCACTCTCCCTCAAAGAGATTAGATTCGGAACAGATGTAAGATCCGCCTGCGAAAATTCCTCTTTTTGAGGGGTCAAAAGAGAAGCTTCTTCTTCTTCTTCTTCTCCCTCCTCCTTCGTCGCGTACTAATGATTGATGATGTCTCCAGAGAAAGAGAGAGACGGCCAACTAAAAAGAGTCAAAGCCACTAAATCCACACCGTTTAAATTTTTAATTATGGTCCTTGTAATCAACGGTCTCGATCTTCTAAGCGTTTCATTAATCGTCTCTTTGGTCGGTAGACCGAACATTGTGGGGGTAGCTATTTTTTCTATAATTTAATTTTTGATTGACCAATCAGAGTTTAGATACGGTGACAGATACACCAAAAGCTGGGGCAAAGAATATATAAACCACTCCTGGTCCTGGTAAAGATGCGCGTGAAGACCACGTACGTCCCAGTATTTCTGGCCGGTGCCGCCAAAGGAACTTGCGGTGCCCACTTAAGATCGGGGAGGGGGGGGGGGAGGTGTCGTTTTGCCAAAATCTATGAGTTCTTTATCATGGGCTTTAATTGACCCATAGTAATGGGCCAAGATAATATTTTATCAATGATGATAATTTACTTTTAATCTAAATTTTATAGTTTTTTTCAAATTATTAACACACTAGGATAAGACCCGCGTCTTGCGCGTTATGAAGCTATTATTTTTATTATGTTTTGAAAAATGAAACAATAGTTCGGTTTCATTCGGATTATAGGTGCTCAATCCGGATATCGGGTTTCGGTTCGGCTCAATTTTTTGTCCGATCTTTTGGTATTTCGATCATTAAAATATAACTACTATTCTAAATCTATATGTACTACAGTTTGATTTGGTTTATATACCATCGGTTTTCAGTTTATTCAATTTTATACCAAAAAACATAATTATTTAGTTTGAGATCATATTATATATTATACAAATATATAATATGATCATATTTAGAGTCATATTGCCACAGGGTCATT